TAGGACAATAGACTCAGTGATTTTCCCTTGGGGTGAGGACGGGGTCCTCTAAGAGGTCTAGGTAGTTTGTAAAAGCTTTCCTATCCCTCCCTATCTCAGAAGGAAGGTTCTGACAGCCTCTTGGGAAAGAAGTTATTTCTTCTTCCTCACTCCCACTTGTGAGAACCATGGAGACAGGCACTGGGAAACATCCTGCCTTCTTGACAACTCTATCAAAGACAAGTGGGATTATGTAGTGACAGGTCAAGGCAGTGGTTCTAGTATGGTCCCAGAACCAGTAACAGCAACATTACATGGGAATGTATTGGAAATGAAAATTATTGAGTTCCATCCTATAGCAGACTGTGTTTTAATAAGCCTTCCAAGTAATTCTGATACATGCTGCAGTCACCATAACATATTATGATGGGGAGAGACATAAGAGACATAAGATTTCACATAATCTAGCAATCCTGGACTTTTTCCGCCCTGCTTCTGGGTTCAGATTGCAGTAACCTCCAAGCCTGATACTCATCTGATGTTCTGGATGGTTAACATATTAGGAAGATTGAGCTGTGCTATCAACATTTCTACCATCATGTTGTGTAAGGGTTACTGGCCAACTGTACTTGCTCCCTAGGGCATCTAAGGACTAGCTTTGTTTCTCTTACCCAAGACTATGAATTTATTGCTCTCTTTGGACTGAGAACATTCCAGCCTCCTTCCAACATCTATTAAATAGGAATTATTCTTGACTATTTTGATGACTTTGCTGCCAGATGTCAAATATAGAGTCATAATACTTTATTTTGTTTGAAAACTATTAATTTGTTTCATTCTACTCCTTTTGTGGTTCCCCCACCACACTTTTGGTTTAGCCCAACAAACACTTATTGAGGAAAATATTAAATACCCGGCACTTTGCTAAATGAATGAAACGTAGTCCTTGTCTCCTGAGGAGCATATGATGGGGTGACTTGAACTAATTGTTAAGTACCCACTGTGTTCAATGCATTCTAAAGACATCATCTTTCATCTTTATAATATTACAAGAAAGATATTGTGTTCCCCCATTTAGTGATGAGGAATCTGAGACTCAGAGCCCAAGTCTATACTGTAAGTGACAGAGCTAAGATTTGAACATAGGTCAGTCTGGCTCCTAGGCTCATGCTCATTCGACAACAATGAATTCATTCTGAGTGCGTACATGAGCAGGGTAGGTCAGAATACTATTAAATCTTCTCTTCTGTATAATTCAATTTTAAATGTTAAGATGTACTAAAAAAAAGTTCATTCTGGGGTCACCTGGGTGGCTCAGTGGGTTAAGCCTCTGCCTTCGGCTCAGGTCGTGATCTCAGGGTCCTGGAATCGAGCCCCGCATCGGGCTCTCTGCTCAGCGGGGAGCCTGCTTCCCCACCTCTCTCTGCCTACTTGTGATCTCTCTCTCTGTCAAATAAATAAAGTAAAAAATCTTAAAAAAAAAAAAAAAGTTCATTCTGGGACATCTTTCTCAATAGGTGGTATGTTTTTTTTTAAAGATTTTATTTATTTATTTGACAGACAGAGATTACAAGTAGGCAGAGACGCAGGCAGAGAGGGACGGGGAAGCAGGCTCCCCTCTGAACAGAGAGCCCATGCGATGTGGGGCTTGGGGCTTGATCCCAGGACCCTGGGATCATGACCTGAGCCCAAGGCAGAGGTTTTAACCCACTGAGCCACCAGGCGCCCCTCAATAGGTGTTTTTAAGGATAGACACCAATGACCCAGCAAGGTGTTTCACATGTTAGACTTTGAGTAATGTTTGCTTAATGAATATAAAATGTGTCTTTAGAATAGTCAGGTTGGTAGACTGTAATATGTTCTACCAAGTGTCTATCTAGGGTATGAGATATAGTAATTTGAATTTCAGAGAGGTGGGGGTGTGGCTAAGCACCCCTCATCTCCTAAGATAAGTACAAAATTTGCTGAAATAATTGTTAACAAGGAAGAGAAGGTATCTGGGTAGAGAAGGTATTGAATAGGTACTCCACAAGGCATAAACCATAATTTACAAAGTTTTAAAATGGTTTCTTGGTCTTTTCTGTTTACATGTACTTCAATTAAAAAGTTACAAAGAATACTGAATTTCTGAGTGTCAGTGGGCATTTGACCAGGTGAAATAATTTCTCTCAAAAGACATAGTCTTTACTACTTGGGTAATAATCAGAGATGTTATGCTTCCATAATGGTTGACAAACAGTTCAGAGCAAGTTAATTCTGAGTATAATTTACAACTGGAGAAATGGAAGAGAAAAAGTTACAGCAAGGAGTACCACCTAGTGGCCATCAAGAAGCTGCAACAATTTAATCAGCCTTTGGCATTAGGAAAAATTCAGCACACTGACCATCCTTCTAACTCTGTGGTGGGCTCTAAGCAGACAGAAGCTTGACTTCCAAACCATTTTCTAGATCTGGAAAAGTTGAATGAGAATCCTCCAGATACTAAGCACAGGTAATCACAGATTTTAATCAGAGAGAATTAAAGTTGTTTCTTGGACTTAATAGAGTGGAATGGGGAAATGTGAAATCATAATGCTTCCTTTGCTGACTTCCCCCTGGAAAAGTGTGATATTGCTTGTGTCCAATCCATGACCACTCATTAGTCCCTCTTTCCTGTAAGACTATAGATGAGCTCCAGGGGAGGTAGGAATTTGTAAAGGAAAAAAATTTTTTTAAAGATTTTATTTATTAGAGAGAATGTACATATGAGAGAGAGAGAGAGAGAGAAGGAGTGTGTGTGTGTGTGTGTGTGTGTGTGTGTGTGTGTGTGTGTCAGAGAGAGAGAGAAAGAGAGAGCGAGCAGGGGCAGGGGTAGAGGGAAAAGCAGACTTCCCACTGAGCAGGGAGGCCAACGTGGAACTCTATCCCAGGACCATGGGATCATGATCTGAGGCGAAGGCAGATGCTTAACCAACTGAGCTACCCAGGCACCCCTGAAAAGGAAAATTCCTAAAGAGAATTGCTCACAAGAGACTGACAAATCCTACTTTAATTTTTTATGTAATTCTAGACTTACAGAAAAGCTGCAGGAATAATACAAATAATTCTTATATATATATTTCTTAAATATGTACATTTTACCATGCTTACATTTCTTTTATTGCTCTCTTTCTCTCTCTTCATACACACACACACACACACACAAACACACACATGCATGCATGCACATAATCTGAGAATAAATTACAGATGTAATGCCCTGTTGTTCCTAAATACTTTAATGTGTAACTCTAAAAATAGGGACATTCTCTTACTAAAGTCAGGAAATTATCATTGATTCAGTACTATCATCTAATGAACAGACCTTATAATTTCATCAATTATTCTACTAATAGACTTTATAGTAAAAGAAAAAAATTATTGCCCAGGATTTAATCCTAACTAAATGCACATATTACATTTAGTTTTTATGTTTCTTCAGTCTTTTAAAATCTAAACAATTCTTTAGTCTTTCTTTATCTTGCAGGACTTGGCTAAGAAATTAAGCAACAATATCATACACTAACAAATTTTAAACTATAGAAACAACAAAAATCCATGAGTTCATGCTGATACATATAAATGACTAACTAGGGGCGCCTGGGTGGCTCAGTGGGTTAAGCCTCTGCCTTCGGCTCAGGTCATGATCTCAGGGTCCTGGGATCCAGCCCTGCATCGGGCTCTCTGCTCAGCAGGGAGTCTGCTTCCCTTCCTCTCTCTCTCTGCCTGCCTCTCTGCCTACTTGTGATCTCTGTCAAATAAATAAATAAAATCTTTAAAAAAAATAAATGACTAAATGAGGAAGAAGGAAAAGTTCTTCCTTTTTTTTTTGAAAGTTTTTTTTTTTTTTTTTAAAGATTCTAACTAACAAATGCAGAAGGAATGATGTAATGGAATGAGAAAAATCACAACTTGACAACCATGGTAGTAATAATCAGGCAAAAGTCATTAATGGATATTAAAACTAGTAGGTAAAAGATTGATGAGTAATAGGATGTTTACACAATTTCAAAGTATTTCCCCACAAAATACATATTAATTACAAAGAGAAAAATAATTTTACATTGGAGAAAGCTGGAAGACACTGCCTTAACAAGGGATGAAATTTAACATCACTAGTAATGATACAGTTAGACGATGTGTACCTTCTGATAGGAAGCTCTGAGAAGGACACACATCACTTTTTGGGTATTCTTTGCCAAATGTATAACCTGATTTTAAACACAAGAAAACATCAAGCAAATCTAAATTGGGGAACAGTCTATAAAAGAAATGGCTTATATTCTTCAAATACAGAATTTTAACTTAGAAAACTAATAGCTTCCCTTGACCGCCCAACTTTAGACTGGGTGTATGGGTTAGGGTGGTTAAGGAAGATTCAGTTCTTCAGGGCAAAAGTCAGGTCTTTTTTTGATCTGGGGATGCTCTGAGTCCTTCCATCAGGAGACAACTGTGCCCATCAGGATACCCTGGGGCCAGAGGTGTTATGCCTTTCCCCTATTCCCATTGCTATGGAGTCATTGACTCCAAGATCCAGGAGACCACATCTCCATTGTAAGGCGTTTGGCCAGGATCTTGGAGTACTTTAGAATTCAGAGGTACTTTCCCAAGGGCATAGATAAAGGACAAATGAAAGGAAGCACTACCTGGTGCAGAAGATGGAAATATCTTGGTTCTGGGGAATAAGAACTAGGAATTTAAGCTGGTTTAAGAAGAGAAAAGTGAATTTTCAGAATGACAATATGAAGAGACAATTTCTGAGTGGAGTTCAGTCTTTCTGAGGTAAGTTGAGAGTAGAGGAGGAGACCTTGTAGCCTACTATATTCCCTGGTTTCCCCAATGCTCTATTAGCCTTCCCAACCAACTCTAGGGGTGGGTAGGTCCAATGGGGTCCCAATTAGGTAGGCATCTCTGGCCCCAAGGCAAATGGGCTTTCCTGTCTCCTCTGGAGAATGGATATGGGAAACAATGAGCAGGACACAGTCTCTTCGGTTGGTTTCTAGTGACTTATGGAATGACAAGCTCCAGTGCCTATTATTATACCAAAGTGATGTCCGAGCTCTTCTTACATACCCCATCAGACACCGGAGTCTCCTTCCAAGCCATCAGCAGCATGGCAGACTTCTGGGATGTGAGTATGAGATCACCTCTACCTCTCCCCTCTCCTTTTCAATGGCCTGAAGCATAAAGTCACAGGCCAGGCCTCAGGAATGTCAGACAGTAGACCAGGCCATATCCAGAGACCAGACCATTCTGGGACAAGGCTAAGTCAAAGGGTCAAGCAAGAATCAATGGGTCAGACTAGAGCTTAGGTGAAGGTAGATGAGAGACTGGGATGATGGTCAGGAAGTCAAGCCAGTAGTTAAATTAGTATTGAGAGTCAGAGATAAGGCTGAACTTCAAAATGCATTTTGAATAAAGGATAGTACTACATCAGGTCAAGAACTGGTCAAGGTTCACAGGTCAGCTGAGGAGTCCAACAGAAGCAGATTAGAGACAAGCTGGAAAGTCAAGCAGTGAAGGCAAATGTCATTCCAAGAATAAAGTTCAAGATGAGGCAGGGTCAAGCTCAACCCAGCTTGTGGTCTAGTTTGCCCAGGGCCCACTACTGGACAGTTTGTATTGGACCAAATGGTACAACAACCAGAGCCTGGGCCATGGCTCCCACTCCTTCATCTACTATGAGAACCTGCTGCTGGGGGTTCCAAGGCTACGGCAGCTAAGGGTCCGCAATGACTCCTGTGTGGTCCATGAGGATTTCCGTGAGGACATTTTGAGCTGCTACGATGTCTACTCTCCAGACAAGGAAGAGCGTCTCCCCTTTGGGCCTCTCAATGGCACAGCGTGAGTGAGTCCCCCCACCAATGTTGCTGGGCTTGCTTCTCTGAGCCACCATCCTGAGGTTTGGGAACCATTTCCACTTAGTCTTAAAGAGCCGTAGGGGAGTGGAGAGTGGGGAGCATCTCTCTAGAATCCCATCTGTGACTTTTTGGAGATCTTTGTTTTGGTTACTCAGGAACAGAGAAGGTACATTAGCAAACAGACCCATAGCTGCTAGACTCATTTCCACACACAGATAGCAGTCACATTTGCCATACTCTGGAGGCAGTCCTGCCAGAGAAAGCATCCTTTCTTGCCCAGATGTTCTTAGAGGTATAGAGCATGGATGAAACACTGATATTGCCACTTAAGTCATTACTGAAAAGTCTGACCCTTGGACCTGATAGGGGAAGCAGCAAGAGGTTGAGGATGGATAAAGAATTATGAAAGAAGGGGGAAAGGGATGGATAAGATATGGAAGAATGGGAAGGACGGAAGTGCTCAGGGAGGAAATTTGTGGACAGAACAAGAATCATGGGGCGAAGCAGCCAGGTGCACAACCACAAGAGCAGAAAGGGTCTTTTTTGGGTTATATGAGCCAGGTGTTTCCCTAGTGTGGACTACTCAGTCTGGGATCAAAAGTAGGGCATGGGTTTGTCATCCATAGTTTTGGGGGACATGATGAGAAATCAGGAGATTTATATTTGAGTTTCAGTTCAGCCACTAACTAGCTGGATTATCTCAGACATCTCTGAGTCTTAGGTTCCTCATCTTCAAACGTGGATAGTATTTACCCTCCTTTCTCACGTAGTTGTTAGTATCAAGCAAGATAATATATGTGAAATGTATATATAATATATATGAAACTGTGAAGTCCAGGCAATCATAAAGTGTTGCCTTGCCTTGGGAGATCAGCTTTTGGACTGGCTCAGACCTCTCTGCTCAGATGGCATCTTCTGTGACAGGTGGACATACCATTCACAGGATGAGCTGGGGGGCTCTTCTCACTGGGGCCGGTTGACAAGCTACAGTGGAGGTGGCTACTATCTGGACCTTCCAGGATCTCGGCAGGCCAGTGCAGAGGCACTCCAGGACCTTCAGGAGGGCCTATGGCTAGACAGGGGCACTCGGGTGGTCTTCATCGACTTCTCAGTCTACAATGCTAACATAAATCTTTTCTGTGTTTTGAGGTGGGTCCCCTTTCCCTATTTTCTCTTCATCCATGGTTCCTGGTTCCTTTCTATGCTTGAGCCCCTTCCTTAAACTTATACCCTATAGTGGGGGTGTGGAGGAGAGGGGATGGGAAGAACTATCCCAGTCCAGGCTTCACCAGGGATCTTCCCCTCTTCCCACAGACTGGTGGTAGAATTTCCAGCTACAGGAGGTGCCATCCCATCCTGGCAAATTCGCACAGTTAAGCTGATCCGCTATGTCAGCACGTGGGACTTCTTTATCATTGGCTGTGAAGTCATCTTCTGCATCTTCATCTTCTACTATGTAGTTGAGGAGATCCTGGAGCTCCATATCCACCGGCTTCATTACCTCAGCAGCATCTGGAACATTCTGGACCTGGTGGTTATCTTGGTGAGGGATAGATATCTTATACCTGGGACATATTAGAAGGAGGAAGGGGCTCTATGCTGTTAGGGTCTCCAAGTTCTTCCTTTTGGAGTGTCACGTTTTCTTTATGACTTCTGGTCAAGTCACTGTGTTAAAGCTCCCAAAGCCAGAGGCTGATGTTCCCCTGGCTCAACTCCTGGGAAAACTGTGTCTCCCAAATGCCCTCTTCCTTTGACCTGTGATCAAGCTGACCTGTGAACCTTTTCTTTATGTACTTGTTATTTTGTTCCTCTTCTGTCTTTTGCCTTTATGACCTGTCCCTTTGAAACCCCTATGTTTTCTCTTCTCTTCTATTGAAATATTCTGCCTCTTCTCTTCCTCTTCCTCCTATGAACAGGACATATTAATTTCTTGACCAATGCTAGGAAGTGGCAGGAGAAATAAAATTACTTGGCTCCAATTCTCTGTGATCCTTTATAACCTACATATTTACTACTGGCTCCATAGCCTTCTCCTTGCAATTAAGGCATTCCCCCATCACCCTATTCAGTTCCATTTGAAACTGAAATAGTCAACAACTCGGAAGGGAAGGATTTTTTTTTCCCACCTGACTTACTTACCCCAGCTCTGGCCTAGGACCTTATCATTGAACTTCCCTTGAGATCCCGACTTCTCTGACACCTCTGACCTCTGTGATGACAGCTATCCATTGTGGCTGTGGGCTTCCACATATTCCGAACGCTTGAGGTGAATCGGCTGATGGGGAAGCTTCTGCAGCAGCCAAACATGTACGCTGACTTTGAGTTCCTCGCCTTCTGGCAGACACAATACAACAACATGAATGCTGTGAACCTCTTCTTTGCCTGGATCAAGGTACGTTGGGACCCCCACCCCCAGCAACACCTCAGGGCACTCATTTTCCCTCCCTTGGTACTTGTCTCATTTTCCTGGTCTGATTTGGCAACTCTGATGACCTCCATAGGTCTCTGGAGTGGACTATTCAAAGCTTTTCTCTCTTTTTCCTTAACTGCTTGGTTCAACATGGCACTTCCAGATATTCAAGTACATCAGCTTCAACAAAACCATGACGCAGCTCTCCTCCACGCTGGCCCGCTGTGCCAAGGACATCCTGGGCTTTGCTGTCATGTTCTTCATTGTTTTCTTCGCCTATGCCCAACTCGGCTACCTGCTTTTTGGAACCCAAGTGGAAAACTTTAGTACTTTCATCAAGTGCATGTGTGTATCGTGGCCCCTTCACTCCTCCCTGGCCCCTCACCCTCTGGCTCTGTGGGTGTGTGTATCCTTGGGGAAGCTGGGTGTATGTGTGCAGGCATGTCTGTGGTTAAAGCATCTGTGTGAGGATCTCCAGAAGCTCTGGTGTGTGTGCTCAAGTATGTCTGTACCCCGTTCTGTCTTTATCAGCTTGGAAGTGCAGTGAGAGGGCTGTCTGAGTTCACCGAAGAACAGCAATTAGTGGCTTGGGGTATGAATAGGGGTCAGGGTTATGATTAGGCTCTGGGTGAAGCCCAGAACCTTGTCTCTCAGTTTCACTCAGTTCCGGATCATCCTTGGGGACTTTGACTACAATGCTATTGACAATGCCAACCGCATCCTGGGACCTGCCTACTTTGTCACCTATGTCTTCTTTGTCTTCCTCGTGCTCCTGGTGAGCCTCCCTCTGAGAGGTGGGGAATTGGGAGCCTGAGGGGTGGAGGCATAAAGGACCTGAGGGTGAGGTTTTGCCCCCCACCAGGTTCTCTACCCAGGTTTAAGACGGGTGTCTCAAATCATGGGTGGAGAATGAGGTGGGGGAGCTCTGGGTCTCCTGAAAGCTGGTTAATGTGCTCAATATTGCTAGCACAGTCAGGCAATTTGCAGAGTATCAGGGAATCTGCAGGCTCCCTCAGTAAAGTGAAACCTCTATTCTCCAAGGATGGAAAGGGAGAGAAACGTGCCCCATGAATAGAAGTGGTTGAACTTAGAAGCTTCTATATCTATTCTCTCCTTCCTCTAGGACTAACTGGCTATTTCTATCACCATTGCTTTATACTGTCTCTTTCTCTCTGTCAACTAGGAAAGATCTGGGTTTAATATTTATTAACAAAGCCAGTAGGTTTCTTTATTTGATCATGGTTAGGGATAGATGGGTTAGATTTGGGTTAGATGATAAAGATAGCAAAACTGTACTATTAGTGAATAGTTGGCCCTTATATGGAGGTGAACTCTTGCATATGGTGGGGTACTGTTGTAGTCAGGTTGTTGCAAAGCAACTGAGTGAGGAGAGCAGGTGGATGAGGGAGCTTGATCCATCCCTAACAGGATTGTGCTGAACAGGGATCTTGGGGCCCTGAGATGTGGGGGTTAGTGGGCTGCAGAGCTCCAATTGAAAGCAGATCCAGGTCCCCTCTTTATCTCCAGAACATGTTCCTGGCCATCATCAATGACACATATTCAGAGGTCAAGGAAGAGTTGGCTGGACAGAAGGATGAGCTGCAACTTTCTGACCTCCTGAAACAGGTAACCACTCAGTATCCTTGAGCCACACATCTGAGTCAGAGCCGAGGTCTAAGGCTCTGTGTCCTGGTCTGTTTCTGACTGGTGTAGGGCCCTGTGCCCACCCTTGTGTGGTTTTGACTTATCCCTGGAAGCTTGGCATCCTGTGGGTGGGGAAGAGGGCAGGAGATGATGAGAAGCTATGGGAACTGGTACCTGTTTCCTTTTCCCTTACAGGGCTACAACAAGACCCTACTGAGGCTGCGTTTGAGGAAAGAGCAGGTTTCAGATGTACAGAAGGTCCTGCAGGGTGGGGAGGAGATCCAGTTTGAGGATTTCACCAACACCTTGAGGGAGTGAGCAACCAGAGATCCAACCTTCTCTGATATTGTTCTATAAGTCCTTGGCCTTCAAACATATACCCTTTGCCTAAAAACCTCTGATATTGGCCAATGGGCCTACAACCTTGGCTTATAGGATTTAATTTTGGCCTATAGATCTCTGATTCTGACCTTCAGAATTGTGCCCTTGGTTTAAAGGTCTCTGACCATATTCTAGAACATTCTGGACCTCACTAAACAACGCCTAGGACTAACATAATAATATAATTTCTTCATCATTACGTTACATTTCTCACTCCCACAAAACTCTGTAGTTGGTTCTGTGCTCCCCAACAAACACTGGCCTCGTCTCCTAGCCTTCCTGTTTCCCAGGTAAACATATGAACAAACACTGAACAAATATATTGTAAGCACCATTTGTGAGCCAGGCAGTGAGTAGGGCACACAATTAATTAGACAAAATCTTTGTTCTCCAGGAGCTCATACACCTGTAAGCAAATAAACTGAATCACAGAACAAGTTCAACAAAAAAGTGATTAGAAGAGAGGGAGCACAAACTAAAGAGAGTTTTCAATTCTATTTTTGAGCTTAAGGGAAGGCTTCCTGGAAGAGGTGATGTATGAATACCTATAGGAGGATGAATAGCCTACAAGTAGACAAGCAGGGGAAGTCCACTCCAAGAGATGAAAACATATACAAAGGCATAGAGGTGTTAAGTTGAACAACATGTATAGGAATAATAAGCAGCTAAGCAATGCTATGGTATCAAATAAAGGTGGGGGATAGAAGGAGAGGAGACCAGTGGAATAAACAAGGGCTACATTGGGAAAGACCTTGAATACCACCATTCTGTCCAAAGAATAGGGTGCTCAGTAGGGATTTTAAGAAAAGAAGGGATGTATTTAGACCTGTATTTTAGAATGACTATTTACTGTAGTTGCATTATAGAGGATGGATTTCAGGGGAAGAGGGTAAAGGGGAAGCCTTTTACCCGGGCACGCAGAGCATGAAATCACTGAGCTCACAGCCGCCTTCACCAGGTTTGATCAAGATGGGAATTACATCCTGGACAAGAAAGAGCAAGAACAAATGCAACAGGACCTGGAGGACAAGAGGGTGGCAGTTGGGGGGATGGGTTATTTAGGGGCAGAGATTCTTCAATAATTCCTATAGAACATTAGGAGGGCCTGAACCTTGTCAGCAGGACTAAGAGAAGGAAGACTGATTAAAACAATTTTGGGGGGTGCCTGGGTGGCTCAGTGGGTTAAAGCCTCTGCCTTCAGCTCAGGTCATGATCCCAGGGTCCTGGGATCAAGCCCAGCATCAGGCTCTCTGCTCAGTGGGGAGCCTGCTTCCCTTCCTCTCTATCTCTGCCTGCCTCTCTGCCTACTTGTGATCTCTCTCTTTCTGTCAAAAAATAAAACCTTTATTTAAAAAAAACAAACAAACAATTTTTTGGGGGTAAAATTGCCAGACCTTGGAGATCCTGGCTTTCCCACATGGTCCCATTCTTTCCCAGAAAGCAAGAGTCAGTGAGTCTGGAAAAAAAGTAGGGAGTCAGTAATTGAGAGATCACAGCCACAGCAGGTCAGAAGTCATTTCATCATACTGTTTTCCTCAGACTCGGGCACGCAGAGCATGAAATCACTGAGCTCACAGCCGCCTTCACCAGGTTTGATCAAGATGGGAATTACATCCTGGACAAGAAAGAGCAAGAACAAATGCAACAGGACCTGGAGGACAAGAGGGTGAGCCCAGCTGGTCGGTGGAGAGGCAGTGAAAGAAAACCACTCACTCTCCCCTCCCTGCCAACACACCCAGAACACAAATCCGAACTGAAAACCCTTCAATAAAGAACTCTCTAGAACAGTGGTTCTCAAACTGCTGCACATTAGAATGCCCTGGTGGGGTGGGGGTGGGGATTCAAATAATCCTCATACTCAGGTCACATACCCTAGACAGAATCTCTGGGGGAGACCAAACATCAGTACTTAAAATACTCCCCTGCTGATTCCAATGCATAGCCAAGGTTGAAAACCACTGCTCTAAAATACAGTCTTGGGAAAAGATCAGTCACCCGAGAATCCCTGATAATTCTTTCTGAAGAGTTGCCTTCTCCTTGGGACTTTCAAACTCAGGCCCTTAGCTGCCCCTGCTGTGCCTGCTTCATCCCTATCCAGTGTAGACCCAAAAATCAAGGCCAGGAGGGAAAGTGGCAGGAATTCTAGTACTATTCTTCTTTTCCCAAACGGAGTTGGCTTCTAGTGAGGGTCTCCTTAATTAAGACTTCCAAGAGCTCAAGTTTTGTTCCTGTGGCAGGTGATTCCCTCCCAGAGGTTGGGCCAGCTTTGTGTCTAGCACCACCACACTGATCTTTTTATCTCTAGAGTTTGAGAGGGAAGGGGAATAGCATGAACTAAAGCCCAAGGGCTTGGTCTTGGGAGCTCATGAAAGCAGGTGATGAAATAGGAGCTGATTACTTCCCAGGTCATCTCCTCTCTGACTTCCTGAACAGGTGGCCCTCAACGCCGAGATTGAGAACCTGGGCGGGTCCATTGCGAGTAGCCCACCAGGCGAGTCGGGTCCAGAGGCTACCAGAGCAGGTGGCTGGGTTTCAGGAGAAGAATTCTACATGTATGTGTAACCAATGGTCCAGGGATGAGTGTGTTTGTAATGTCCTACCCTGAGCTTTTTTTCTCAACTTTCTAATTTTCTGTCCTAGCCCAGGGAGAACTTCTGCCCCCCTTTAATTCTCCCTACAAGGTTGGGCCTTACCTTCTTTGCACCCATCCAGACACAGATCATAATGGCTCCCCTGCCCCTGTAGGCGCTTAGTCCCACAGATGCCTATTTCTGCTCCCTCGGTCTCTCTCAAATCCTGCAGACTCACAAGGAGAGTTCTTCAGTTGGAGACTATCCTGGAAGGAGTCATGTGCCAGGTGGATGCTGTGGGCTCAAAATTAAAGATGCTGGAGAGGAAGGGGCAGCTAGCTTCCTCCCTAGGCACGGTGAGTGGCCCTTCACCTGGTTCTTCTTGGTGCCCCACATTTGAACTCTACCATCTTTTCTACTCAGCAGGTAGAGGCAAAACATTTTTTTTTCCATTTTATTTTATTTTATTTCTTTTCAGTGTTCCAGCATTTTTTTAAAGAGCCTGTTTTTTGGCTCCTGGGGCAACATGTTCCCTTAGTGGAGGAAAGGGGTGGAATGAAGGCCTGAAGTTGGTTGTTCTGGCCTGAGAGCTGCCTTGGCCTCCAGGAAACGGTCTGAGGTTGAAGAATCAGATCCAAATTTTCTAGATAAAAGGAAGTGGGACACAAACTCCTCCTTCAAATGACCTGTCCCTTTTTCTTCCAACAGGGGGATCAAGACATTTGGGAGCAACAACAGCTGACCCCAGCTGTGACTCCAGACCCCTGGGGAGTCCAGGGTGGGCAGGAGAGTGGTGTGGGAGGGGGCCTAAAGCATCAGACATCAGGCTCCTCTCTCATTGCCTCTCCAGAGACATCCTCAGGACATGTCCTCCACTTCTAGGGCAGCAGTTCCCTCCACTGCTACTGCTGAGTCCTACCCTGTGTTTGGCCTTTTGAACCAATGTTTCTACATGTAGCTTATATCATGTTTAGTAGCTTGTGACTCAGTGTTTCTGAGTACAGCCATGTAGCTCAGTGCAGCTCTTTGAAGTAACATTTCCCACTGGGCCCCTCACTCCCTGTGCTTCCAGCTCTACTATGATGGAAAAAAAAAAGTTAATAACAAACAGAATGAAGGAAGGGAGGGTAATTTTCCCTAGGCACTTGGCATCTGGATAGCCATGATCTGGGAAAAATGTAGAAGCCAAGAGGACAGCATTATCTAGATGTCTTCCTGTTTGTCAGTGAAATTTATCCTTTGTGCATCTAGAGATCTGCTGCTAGCACCCATGGGATTCTTGTCTTCCCCATAGAATTTCCAGGTGAAAGAGAAAGGGAAACCCTGGGGGAGAGGAAACTTTCTCACTGTGGAGATTACAGTGTTGCAGAGAACTTGGGGTGATCCCTCCATCCAGGACAAAGACCATGAAGGCTCAGTTGAGGAGGCTGCCTACGACATTCCACTGACCTCTGGGAATGGACAGGGCTGTAAACAGGGACACAGATGGAGCCTGAGGAGAATCAGAGAAATGACTTCAGGATTCAAAGGTCTTTGGAATAAAATGCGGTGGGCTCTGATCCTATTCTTGCAAAGGACATATGGGTTTCTCTAGTGACTATCAATAAAGATCCTTCAAAAAATCAGGACTTTGCATTTGCTTCTGGGATTGTAGGGGAAAGAAGAGAGGATGGAGCACTTATCCCTGCCAGGAGAGGTCGACTGGCAGCAGAGACAATGTGAAGGGGCTGAAACAAGAACGTCTGGCTCATAGGAATGATTTGAAATGATGGGCATTATGACTGTACCATTTAGAGAGTGGAGACAGTGACCTAGGGAGATCTGGTGCTCATGATGAAAAGAGTAAGGTAGTCCTTATGCTGGCATGAGGGGTAGCTGGTGTGTGTGTGTGTGTGTGTGTGTGTGTGTGTGTGTGTGGTGTAGGATGTGGGAGGTAAGAGGGGGAGATGGAAAATAACTAGGAATAGGACTAAAAACTTCCACACCAAGATTTGGGGTGTATAAGTCTGTGTCCCAATTCCCACTATGTATCCTTTTCCCCTTCCCCTGTGATCTTTACCTCTTTCTCATTTTGCACCTTGCTCCCCAGTTGCTCTTTCTCATCCATTCCCTTTTCCCACCCTTTTCACCATCCCATCAGCTACACTCTATACACCCAGGAGACTCTTGAATAAATGCAATCAAGATAACCCGAGTGTATCCTCAGCTGTAAAAAGTTAAAAAGCTTTCTTCCAGAAAGACTGTATCAGCTGAAGAGAAGTAGGTGCCAACCTGCACCTTAAGAAAAGAGGGGCGGGGCGCCTGGGTGGCTCAGTGGGTTAAGCCCCTGCCTTCAGCTCAGGTCATGATCTCAGAGTCCTGGGATCGGGCCACATCATGGGCTTTCCGCTCAGCAGGGAGCCTACTTCCCCCTCTCTCTCTGCTTGTCTCTCTGCCTACTTGTGATCTCTCTCTTTCTGTGTCAAATAAATACAATCTTTTTTAAAAATTAAAAAAAAAAAAAAAAGAAAAGATAAAGGGGCAAATCAGTTATTTCACTAAGACATTGGAACGGCCAGTATTTCAGCTCAGGGGTCAATGAGTGAAGGTTTCCCAAAGGCTGGATGAGACTACCTTCAAAAGCATGGATTCTCTTAGAAGTCTTTGGCAACGAATACCAGCCTGGGTGGGAAGTGCCTAGGCAGAGGATAACCTGTCCTTGTGACTTTGGTCAGCAGGCCACCAGAGCTCAACCAACCCCATATAGGTCGTCGGTTTTACTAGATTAATGACGGGGATGAGCGCATTCTCAGTTCCAGACATCGCGACTATGGCAACGGATCGACTTAGGATAGCTCATTTTAGCTTCAGTTTCAGCTTTAAGCTTACTCTTTGTTATTACTCCCCGTAAGCCGCAGGACTCAGCAGAGAGGTGGAGTATCCCAGGGCTGCGAACCCAGGGCGGGGAGGGTGGGGACGGCGGGGTGGGCGGGGCACGCCCGGTGCGCAGGCGCGGGTGTCCCACAACCGGAAACAGCGCGGGGCCAGGCATGGCGGCGGCGCCGGCGGCGGCGGCGGCAGAGGGTGTCCCCGCGACCCCAAGAGAGGAGCCGGTTCGAGGTACGTAGAGTAGCTGGGGATGAATTGTCTGGCAGAAGGCCGGGGGCTCACCTAACCGCAGCGAGCAGGTCGGAGGGGCGCACCTGACGGGACGACTGAGATGGGGTTTGGCCACGGGATCGGGTCTGAGCCAACGGCCGGTGCAAGGGAGCAGAATTGGCGTGTCAGGTGGGGCAAGGACAACGTGAGGGACTTGAAATTATGGTACAGGGAGAGCGGAGCCGACTTGATCGAACGAGGACAGGTGAAGGGATGTGGGGCTGTGGGGAGTGGGTGCCATGGCTGGATTAGGACCGGGTGTAGGGCAAGACACTTACTCGTTCTCTTTTGATTCAGACGATGCCGCCGTGGAGACAGCTGAGGAAGCAAAGGAGCCGGCTGAGGCTGACATCACTGAGCTTTGCCGGGACATGTTCTCCAAAATGGCAACTTACCTGACTGGGGAACTGACGGGTGAGGCGGGATGTGGGCTGATTCGGGTACCGCCCTACATCACTCGCTGGAGCTGTAGTTTGGCTCTGGGAGCTGTGAGGTGCTTTAGCAGCATCCGTCTTTGGCTCCCTCCCCAACTCCCCATGCCCTGAAATATGCCTGTTGGAAGTTTGGGAAGGTTATGAGTGGGAAAGAAAAAGGTCCGTTCCTTCCCTGGAGAAATTCACTAGCTAATTTCAGAAATGCATAAAAATGCCTAATATAACTCTGCAAGCCTCGGTAGTGTACACAAAGTATGAGAAGACAAAAAAGAATTGATCAAGACGTGCTTCCTTGGGGAAGGTGTATTTTTAGCAGGATTGTGAAAGGAATGACTGACCAAAAAAGGGGGAAACGATGAGTGAGTGAGGCGGTATAAGGGAACAGTTTGTTCCCTTAAAGCAGATGTATTTACTGGCACAAAGAGAAATGAAATTGGGGAATGGAGAGTGACCTGTAGATTTAGGACCCTACTAGGTTGCTCTGAGGATTTGGTCACCCACACTTTGCGGCATGATTAATTTTGAGTTCATTGTGTATTTGCAGGTGAACATATATATAACCTATGTGTGGAGAAAGGTCCAAAAAGTGAAGTTTGCTCCTGTGGCCTCTCATAAGTATTGTTTCACTTCCCCAGGAAATTGCTGTGAGCTAAATTTGGGAACCAGAATTAATGAGAAAAGGCTTGGTGCAGAATGGGAGGGCTTGTGAGGCTCTATCAGTTTTTTAGTTATTTCTGAGCAAGAGAAACCAAGTAACAAATAATAGATTTTTGACTTCCCTTTAAAAATTCCAAAGATTTGGCAATACTAGTTCCCCATTCTTGTAATGCTGTGATTGACTAGAGCTGAGCAGCTGTCTCCTCTAAATGGACTAGTGCCATGCAGTGTTTTCCCCACCACTCTTTTTCCTCCCTTTTACTGTGACCTGATCAGTTGCCATTTATCACTGTTCTTATAGTGTTGTTTTGTTAGTAGTGGTAGAGAAACAATTTTCTGTGCCAATATTTCTATCCAGGTTGGTAAAGTAAATGATAGGTAAGACGACTGTGTGTTCTAAGAAATGGGAGAGAGCATATTTCTTTGTGGAAGTGAATAATCTTATGTGTTTAACATGCCAACACTTGGCTTGCTTCATTCATTTACATGATCTTGCAGGCTTCTAGGTACTAGAGTGTGACCCTTGGTTTTTTTTTTAGAGAGACTAATTTGCTAGCAGTGAAGGTGTATGGTTGTGGAGGAGAGAGCTCAGACACATGAGCAAGTTTTTGGATGAAAAGTAATGATGATGGTCAGTGACAGGGGACGGTAAAAGGAATGGGAAGGAAAGCATGGGTGCAAGAATACCACAGAAGTGGAATTTAGAAGTGCCTGTGGAGGTATGGGAGCAGCCTAAGGTGTTCTAGGTTTTAAACTGACGGTTCCATCACCTAAAATAGAGAAGTGGGAAAGCAGAACAGTGTTTAGTGTAAAAATGTTTTTGGTTTTGGCTTAGCTGATTTTAGATATTACCAGGACACTCAGGTGACTTGCAGACGTGAGCCCTGAGCTCAGAGAGTGATCAGAGTAGGGGAAACAGATCTGGGAGTCACGTGCACAGGGTGTGAGTCAAGGCTCTGCAGGATGAGATAGGCAAGGACATGCTTAGGGGTTGCTGACTGTACTTATGGCCTCAACTATAATCTCAGTGAATGCTTGTATAGGGCAATTAGTTTGTTTCTAACAACAGTTCTTAAAACATCTAGGTTTACAAATGGTTTACTTACAATAAAATTAATTTTAAACAGAATGTAATTTCCCTGTGATTGTCATTCTTACTTGTACAGATGCTTTTTTGAGTCTGAAAGGAAGCTAGCATCACCCTGGGAATGCCCATAGGAATGTGCCACCCATGTAAACATCAGTTGGGTCACAGCTGAGAAAAAGTTGGGAAGTGACAGTTAAGGATGAATGAGAAAGGACCTAGCATAGAAACCTACAAAGAGTGAATTGAAAGAGATGAGAAAATCAGGATAATAGGATGATGTGGCAACCAAGGGAAATGAGCATTTTGTGAAAAGAGGGAGATCACAGAGTCAGGTACTATGGAGAGGTTCAGGAGGATAATAACTGAGAAAACGCTGTGGATTTGGTGCTTTGCAGAACACCAATGACCCCAGAGCGTGTAATTTCCTTGGATGATAGGGGCAGAGGCCAGGCTGCAAGGGTTTTCATGAGTGAATGCTGAGGAAGAGGAAGCAGTGAGTATGAGCTGGTCTTTCAAAAGGGTTAGCAGTGAAGCTCCTTTGCTTTACTGAGCAAATGATGTAGGTGTAGCAGAAGAGAGTGAGTGCTTTTGAGCTGGAGAGAAACCTGAATGTGTTTCTAGAGAGAGAGGAAGCTGCCAGGATAGAGAATTTGAAAATGCCAGGGAAAGGAGATGATTGAAAAGAGGCCCTAAAGAAGAGGAAGCAAGAGCATGGGAGACATGTTGGCAAAAATAGGGGGCACTCCTGCCTCTTGGGAAGATAAAAAGGTACAGAGAAGTTTTGAAGTGAGGCACAAAGGTTGACGCAACTCATGTAAGTGGAATTTTCCACTTTTCAGGAAAATTTGCTTTGAGTAGCCATTTGCTTTGAGTAGAGATGGGGAAGGGAACTGAGGGTATGAAAAGAAGTACATAAAATGCAATATAGAATCACACAGTAATAAATGAGTTATTGAGAAATGGTGAGGTCCTAGTTGATTTATATGTATTTATGATGCAGTCCTTCAGATTACGTGTTATCATACCATAAATAGCAAGACTGTGTCACCTCTCTCTTCTTAGAACATGAATTTATGGGTCGCCTGGGTGGCTCAGTGGGTTAAAGCCTCTGCTTTTGGCTCGGGTCGTGATCCCAGGGTCCTGGGATTGAGCCCCGCATTGGGCTCTCTGCTCGGTGGGGAGCCTGCTTCCTCCTCTCTCTCTCTCTGCCCATCTCTCTGCCTACTTGTGATCTGTCCGTCAAAAAAAAAAAAACATGAATTTATTATTTACCTCTTTAACCAAGATTCTGAAGTCTCTGGATCTTACTTGGTTTAAATAGTTTGCTGATTATTACCTGAGTTTCTGCTTAGGCATTCAGAGTACACAGGCTGAGTATGAATGTCATAAATCAATAGTGGCCTGCTCCTTTGACATTCTCTGGGTCCTGCCTGGAGCTACCATTTGGCCCATGATTCCACATTCCAGTGATCTATGACAGATCTTCTGTTTCTTTTAAAGCCACCAGTGAAGACTATAAGCTCCTGGAAAATATGAATAAACTAACCAGCCTGAAGTATCTTGAAATGAGAGATATTGCTATAAACATTAGTAGAAACTTAAAGGACTTAAACCAGAAATGTAAGTAATAGTTTTTATAATTAAACATGTTTGTATTTAGTATTCTTTTGTGCTTGGGATTGTGGAGAAGTGGAGGGAATATGGCACCTGTCCTGAGGGAGCTCATTCTCTAAAAGTGAATTACAAAGTTATGGTGAATTTCTTCCATTTTGAGGCTTAGCATATTTTGTTATGGTTATTTCTGCTTCTGAATCTTGATATGATCACTTTAGTCCTGTCAGATTTTAGTAAATTTATTTAAAAATGAAATCCGTAAAGGACTACTGTATAAGCAGAAAACCGGAACATCTATAAATGGAAAATGCTAATTTAGACTGGCAGAATATATTTTTCCATTGACTTATATTTGTGTTCCCTATCTCTAGAGTACTCTTTCTTGGTAGGGGATTACTTAGGAAACTGAATCTGTAAGGGAAGGATTGTTTGAGGAGCAAGAAATTTAAAAGAAAGGAAAATTAGTGGATGAGAGAGACTTGCTTTGCCCAAGTCACAGTTCTGCCTGATCAGCTAGCTATTGTCTGCTAGTGTTTGTCCTGCCAGTGATCAGAATCATGTCACCCTACCTACTGTGTCTTGGGCAGAGCTGGAGGGACACTAGCATTTTTACTTTCCCACTTTTTTCTACACTCTGTGTTGAAACCGAATGAACACGTGGTCTGTCTTTGTTTTCAAAGATGCTGGACTGCAGCCTTATCTGGATCAGATCAATGTAATTGAAGAGCAAGTGGCGGCTCTTGAGCAGGCAGCCTACAAGTTGGATGCATATTCCAAAAAACTGGGTAACCATTTTTATGTCAGTTTTGACTAAGAGTGCCCTGCCCGCCAGCCTGACCTTAGTTAATAGGATAGTTAACATTGATGTGCCTGTGATGATCTATTTTAATTAAGTTTCACGAAAACCTAGTGAGAGTAATTTTTTAATGGTAGTAGTAATAAAAATACTATTTTCTGAGAGCTTAATGATATATATCAGGCACTGTTCTTAGTGCTTTACATGTATTACCCTTTTATCCTCCCAGTGTTCTATGAGATAAGTACGTGATTTTTATCCCCATTCTTTGAAAGAGGAAACTGGTCAAAAGGGTTAAATAACTTGCATAAGGATACAAAGCTAGCATGTGAAAGAGCTATATTCCCAACCAGGTCTGTTTGATTACAAAGCTCAAGCTCTTAAAATTGGGGTTCAGCAGGCTGAAGCATCCTTAGTAATGTAGATGCCTATGTCTTAAAAAATGGAAAAGTCAATCAAGAGTTTTCTTGAAGGATTAATTTTCCTTTAATGAGGAAACTGGTACTTGTATTATTGATGGCTTACTAACTGGCTCTGGGTTTTATATCTGCAATTAAAAATAATGGAGTTGTCTTTATCCTAGATATAATTTACAGATTATTTTATTTTCATCATTGACAATTGTTGGCTACTTCGGGAGAGAGGTCTGTAACAGACTGAGATTTGACATGAGTGGTGATTAACAGTTTAATTGTCCACAATTAAATTTACTAAATGGTGACTGAACCTTACTGTATAGAAGGCATTGTACCAGATGATTTCAAGGTTTGTTTTGATTTATTTTTTTCAAGGTTTTATTTTATTTTATTTTTAAAAATATTTTATTTATTTATTTGACAGAGAGGTAGAGATCACAAGTAGGCAGAGAGTCAGGCAGAGAGAGAGGGAGAAGCAGGCTCTCCACTGAGCAGGGAGCCTGATGCAGGGCTCAGTTCCAGGACTCTGGGATCATGACCCGAGCTAAAGGCAGCTGCTTAACCAACTGAACCACCCAGGCGCCCCTTTTTCAAGATTTTAAAGAAAAAGATAATCTGTCACATTAAGAGGCAAAATGTTGAAAATAGAACTACCCTATGACCTAGCAATTGCACTACTGGGTATTTACCCTAAAGATACAAATGTAGTGATCCGAAGGGGCACATGCACCCGAATGTTTATAGCAGCAGTGTCTACAATAGCCAAACTATGGAAAGAACGTAGATGTCCATAAACAGATGAATGGATAAAGAAGATGTGGTATATATACACAATGGGATACTATGCAGCCATCAAAAGAAATGAAATCGGGGCGCCTGGGTGGCTCAGTGGGTTAAGCCGTTGCCTTCGGCTCAGGTCATGATCTCGGGGTCCTGGGATCAAGTCCCGCATCGGGCTCTCTGCTCAGCAGGGAGCCTGCTTCCCTCTCTCTCTGCCTGCCTCTCTGTCTACTTGTGATCTCTCTCTGTCCAAAAAATAAATAAAATATTAAAAAAAAAAAGAGAGAAATGAAATCTTGCCATTTGCAATGATGTGGATGGAACTGGAGGGTATTATGCTTAGTGAAATAAGTCAATCAGAGAAAGACAACTATCATATGATCTCCCTGATATGAGGAAGTGGAGATGCAACATGGT